TTTTTTTTTTTTTTTTTTTTTTTTTTTTTTTTTTTTTTTTTTTTTTTTTTTTTTGAAATCAAATAAATGTCATTTTCCTCTACTGTTGTGGGTTTGAAGTAACTTATTACAGTGTCTTCGGAAACATGGGTCAATAATCAAAATGACATGAAGGTATCAGTTTTCAAGTAATATGGAAATTGAAGGTGTTAATATGTTTCCCAGTATCATTTGATGATGAAATTATAACATTTTTCAGTCTTTCCTGTTTTGTGCGAATATCAGTTCTGAAATTAGGGACTTGTGGCGATATCATTGTGATATTCAGTTTACTTTCCACTTCTTTCATGGGGATGCTGAAATTATACAAAGAGAGAGATGTATATTTTTCTTTTTTAAGGGAACGGCTTGAAAATTGAACTTATCAGTCATCAGGGATGACTGCCTTGTGTTAAACTATGGTTTATTTCGAATATTAGGCTCAATCGTTTCCATTTGCACTTAAATAATTACCTCCAAACTCAACTGCAATATTCATGCACGTTTTCTTATAGTGCAAGTTCTGTGGGAGGGATGGAACTATTACAATGATTCCGGGGCGAGGTCAACCATTGACTCAGGAAACAAGTGAATCAGGGAAGTCATCTCCTTTGATGTTATTTGACTGCAGAGGTTACGAGCCTGTGGGCTTCATATTTGGACCTGGATGGAAAGCAGAATCTGTAAGTTCTCCAATTTACCAACCTTCCAACTCATGTAATAAACAAGATGTATTTGACATGGTCTACCTGTTTCCTCTGGTAAAGGATATAGTTTTCTGAACTCCATGAACATGCATGCAGATTCACCGCGTTTTAGAGTTGGCATATGAGAGTAGAATATCCTTCCTCTTTCATACTTTTTCCTTCTGTCCTTTTTTTTTTTATTATTAGGGGATTTTGCTTCTCTTTTCTCTTCTTTTTGTTCGATTTTTCTGTTCTTAATATTGCTCATTATAGATGTCTTTTTTTTTAGCTTTGTGTTCCTGATATAGCTCATTATAGATGTCTGTGACTGCATCCATGATTTGATAAAATAATTTGTTTTTACTGATGAGTGTCAAACGAATGGTGTACTTTGTTTGATGACTTCAGAGAAGGAGGCTGTTTGAGGGCTTCATAGGCCTCAGGGGAGGCTCTATAGTGTACTTTGTTCGCTCTATAGTGTACTTTGTTCGCTCTATAGTGTACTTTGTTCGCTCTATAGTGTACTTTGTTCGAGAGTAGGTAGAATTATTGAGGATTGTTGGGAGGGAGTTTCACATTGGCTAATTTTGGGAATGATCGTGGATTTATAAGGAATACGTCTCCATTGACATGAGATCTTTTGGAAAAACAAAAAACAAAGCCATGAGAGTTTATGCTCAAACTAGACAATATCATACCATTGTGGAGATTCGTGATTCCTAAAGTCCAATGAGTGTCATTCTTGATTGAGATTACATCGAGCATTAATATTTCTGAAATAGAGGCGTGAAAATTTATCACAATGAGATTGAAAACAATGAAGAACATGACTTGATACACTAACCCTTTTATTATAATCACGCTGTCTAACATTTTTTCCCCTAACTCACTAACTATGAACAATGATATTGTCCATGTTCTTGCGGCTTTATTTTGCATAAAAGTTTGAAAGCAGCTTCCTTCTTTTGCACAGATAGAAGGGACTAAGTTCGAGGACATTGACTTGTCTGGAGGTGAGTATGCAGAGTACGATGAGAAGGGAGAATGCCCTGTCATGATTTCCAATCTAGAGGCCACATTTGAGTCGGTAAAGTAGGAGGTAATCCTCACCTTAGATCTCTGGATGTAAAAAATTGAGCATTTTGATGCTGCTATTGATATCACCCACTCTATACTTTGATAATGAATGATATCATTATGCAAGATTGTTCATCATGTTTTAAACACAAATCTATGGTGTGATCTAAGTGATGGATATTTTCATAACACTATATGTTTTCAGTTATTATTTAGTTCTTTTTAATTAAATTATTGTCGGTCAAATACAATATACAAGTGGGACCTGCACTATAAGTAAGCTGTGCGAAAAACTGCTGATTTTTTTCGGTTTTGCAACAACTTGGGCGACATGGGGTTCTATCGGGAAACCAGGAATTTTTTAGTTCCATTACTAAAATTTATATTTGATCGATTATTCTTGTTCTTATATTATTCTCGAGATTAATTATCCTATATATTTAAACACAAAAACCAATAAATGTTTTTAATCAATCATATATGAATTTATCAATTATTTTTTAAAAATAAAAAAGATTTACTTTTATCTCACTCAATATCTGTTTTTTCTACTCCATTCAATATTGTTTTCTATTATTAATTTTGCGTCAAACTTGATTTGACTTAAATTAGTGAGTTTATTGAGTTTTTTTTTTTAATTAGTTAGTGAATTAACAAAAATTGAATATAGGGTATAAATTGCAATTTTTTTTCTTTCTATTTTATAATTATTTAGTCTTTTTCATTTTGTGCTTATTTTTATTTAGTTTTATTTTAACAAAACATTTCAATTCTTTAACTAAATTTTGAAACTTAATCCTTTTTTTTTTAAAACATAACAAAATTAAAAAATAAAACACTAATAAGTTAAATAAGGTTTATTTTTTTTTAATGGATTTTTAATTTTAAAGTGTTTATAAAATATTTTTTAAATAATAAACAAAATTTAAGAGCAGTTTAATAATTTAGACGAAAAATAATCTTCATTTTTATATGCCCTAAGATCACGAGGAAGTTTCTGGAACCATAATTTAAATATAAAAAAAAAAACACAGCAAGAATCACCAGCCAATCACCCTCATCTGTCATCTCTTAACAACACAGCCCTGTCTCTGTATCACGGGCCCCACGCTCCTAACTGCCTTTCTCCATTGCTGCACCCTGTGGTCCCCACCCACATTAATTTTCTCCTTTTTTTTTATTTCGCTGTTTCAGTCAGTGGCTTTCCGCATCTTTCTTCCTCCTTTCCTTTTTATTTAGCGTTGTTCTTCACGCTCTAATCTAGACCGTCCGATTCGATCACAGCTGTTCGTTTCTCGTTCGTGTAAGCCACGCGTCATTGTAGCCTCTGGATCGAGGCTAAGAATGTCCCCACTTTACAACGGACCAACGAACGTTATACAGGAAACGACGCCGTGTTTCAAAAAAAAGGAAAATTTAAATCCTTACCTTACCAATTAACTTTTTGAAAATATTTATTTTATTTTAATTTTTTAATATAGCTCAACGATTATGATCAATATTATTCACATATAATAATACAATAATTTTGTTAATTTAAAATTTAAAATTTAAAAAAGTGTTGAAAAATACTCATAATATTTAAATTAATTGAATTATTAGTTTGTTATCAAAATTGACTATTTTAATTTTTTTTTATCTATTTTTAAAAAAATTTAAATTTGTATTTTTTTATTTTATTTTATTTATTTTTCCATTTCTTTTTTCGGAATAAATTTGTTTGTATTCGGTACTATAAAAAGGCTTTGCGGATATTCATTTCTCATCTCCAACCAAAGAGGCCTTCTCTCGGTCTCTCTTCTTTCAATCCATCTCTTCCTCTCGCCGGAGCCTCAACAAACAAATATCTGCAACAATGGCCACCGTCTCCAATGCTTCTCTTATGGCTCTCATTGCCCTCATCATCGCCGTCGCTTCCGTCGCAGCTCAGGAGGCTCCGGCGCCCAGCCCTGCCTCCCCTGCTTCCTCGATTGCTCCGTCGTTCGTCTCCGCTTGCATCGCCTTCTTCGTCGCTCTCGTCCTTGGATCTACTCTCAGGATCTGAGGTACTGGCGTCTCACGATGTGGTTATTGATTTTGCAATGATTCGATATATTTGTGCTCTGCTTTCCTTTTTTCTTTTTTCGAAGTAACCTCGGGGATTTGTTTTAGGCGTTTTCGTTGGATTTTAATTCCTACACGTCTGGTACAGAGAACCTCTTTTGTTACACATTCTTATATACAGAATGCAGGTTGTGATGGTTTGATGATGATTTGTGCTGTATTTTGTTGTTATGATTAGTAAATAAATTGTTTCGTTCTTTTGTATCTCTTCTTGCCTCACCTCTTTTGTAATCCATGAAAACTCACCTATTATCGTTCGAATTTCAAATTGCTAAAATAACCTCAAGATTATTCGCGATCTTCCGTTTTAACACCTTTAAGCTTAACCAAAACAACCTGCAACTTGAACATGGAACTCCAAGTTATGTTAGCGTTTGGATCTCACCTGTAGTGGTTTATTTTTTATATTTTATTTTTATATTTCACATTGAAGCGTGGAATCAGAAACTCAGATGAAAAAACCGTAGGAAAACATCAATATCGAATTGGCAAATATTCAATTATGCAGTTCAAAGATTTGAAGGCATTTATTTATGATTTTCGCAGCAACATAACCTAAACGAATATAATGGAATATATGATGAATTTGTAAGCACTGAAAATTCTTCTAAAGCAACCTTCGTGATTTTAAAGTCAAATTTACATTCATTTTGAGTTCCTCTTTTATTTTTTATTTTTTAAAATCAATTTTGTTCTTGATTTCTACTCAAAAACAAGTTACATGGGTTGAAGAACATGGAATTTATTCATTTATCAGAACTTGAAATGAGATAGGCTTTTAGTGTGCTACATAATTTTTTTGCTAGACCTATCAAATATTACTTAAATTTAGGGGAATAAAAAAAAACTCATTTTGGTATATATATATATATATATGAGTTAAATGTAATTAATGTTATATAAATAATTTGGAGCTTTTTTCTTTCAAGAATTTATTCACTATTATCATTTATTTCCTAGCAAACATATTTAATTTGAGTATATAAAATCAACTTGAATATAATTTAATTTATTAAATACGTAAGTATTATTTTTTCAACTAAATTATTATAAATTCAAAGCATCACCTTAATTTTTTTTAATAAATAATAAAATTTAATTTAATTTTTATAATTTTCTTCTGAATAATTTTCAGTATAACTATTACTAGAGACTAATACGAAAGAACAAAAATTAAATTCAAACTTTATTATCACTTTTTTTTTTTTTAATTGTCATATTACAAGAAAGTAAATATATAAATATTAAAAAAAAGTACAGAAAAAAGGAACGGTGTCCGTCAAATGCCAAAAATAAAATAATAAAAAAGCTGCCTAAATGCATCCAGCTGTCCACTCCTAAAATGCTTTTAAACTTTAAAAATAATAAATTTCTAATATTTTAAAACTAACTATTTTTATTGTAAATAAAGTTAAATTAAAAAAAAACATTTAAAAATTACAATAGAAAAAGTTGGTATTCATAAACTATGCCTTTCCCACTCCGAATCTGACTCCATTTTCACTATTGCTTTAAGCCCTCTTCGTCTCTGCATCCAAATAAAATAATAATAATAATAATTGGAGGAGGTTGAAAATCTGCAGTTAATTTAGAGAATGATCATGGATTTATAAACAAAGAATATCCTCTATTGGTATGATGCCTTTTGGGAACCCAAAACAAAGCCACGAGAGTTTATGCTCGACAATATCATATCATTACGGAGAGTCGTGTTCATCTAACATAGTATCATAGTTATGCCTTAAACTTAATCGTGCCAATAGATTAGTAAATTCTCACATGTCGAACAAATGACTCCAAAAGAAAAGGAGTCGAGCCTCCTCGAAGGCATAGTAAAAAATAACTAAGACAAAAAGTCGAACCTCAATTAAGGTGTGACGTACTTTGCTCGAGGAGAGGGGTTGGATGATGAAAGTCTCACTTCAGCTAATTTAGGGAATAATCATAGATTTATAAACAAAGAATACTCTCTCCATTGGTATGAGAAGCCCAAAACGATAGCTTATACGGACAATATCATACCATTGTGGAGAGTCGTGTTCGTCTAACAACAATATATATATATATATTTTTTTTTCATATTATTATTCTTTAAAAAAAAATAATAAAGAGATAATTACCTTTTTAGACATCTTCTTTTCCCTGACTTCGTATCTGTCCAGCGTTAGATCACACAGCCACGTCCCTGGGCTCACCAGCTACCTCCATTTTTTTATACAAATATATAACGACTCATTAAATAATGCCCTCCAACTTCATATTTATTACACAACTACCCTTCCCTTATACTACTTTAAATCTCCAATCAAAGCTCTCCACGTGTGACACCCATTCCATTGCCACTCAAAATTATAATTTAATTTCAATTATTTACTTATTACCGTCAATAATAATAAATAATAAATAATAAATAATAATATTAAAATTAAAAAGCAAGTAAGAATCTGGGGCGGGTTAGGTATGTGCTTACATTGATGGTGCGTTGAATAATTTTGGGGCGTTTTTTAGGTCTGAGAGGCGGCTTACACCCTTTGATCGCCATGAAATCTTCTTCCTTCTCTTTGTTCGTTAAGGCTATTACGAACTCCGGCAGCCACACTCCCCCTTCTCCGCCGCCGGACGATGACCCTTCTTTCTCTCTTTCTGATTCACTTCCCCGGCTTTTATGGTGGTTGCCGTGATTACACGCCGCTCTCTTCTCCGGTGAGCTTATTGAACTGCCGCCGCCGCCGCCGTTGGTATTCCCTCTCATCGCATCGGAATATCGGAGTTCCTGAATCCAATTTTTAAAAATGTATATAAATATAAAAGAAATCTCGTAAAAAAAAGAGGATGAAATTACGGAATTGACCTTGGGGGATTGAATTGGATAGGACTTTTAAGCGAGTGATGCAGCTTCTAGGCCTTGGCTCCTTTTGAAGGAGAGAACTGTCTTTTCTCAATGGCAACTCTCCCGGGACCTCTCAGCCATTGGATCTCGAATTTTCTAGGCTATGCG